AAAAAAAAAAAAAAGGGAAGACATAAAAAACAAAGTTACAAAGGGGAGAAGAGGTTGGGCATGGATCTAGAAGGGAGGAGCTAAGGGGAAGGGTGGATGTGAATGTGATCAAACTACATTGTATAAAACTCTCAAAGAATCACTAAAAGTATCATATTTAAAGTAAGTGTTAAAGAATAAATAAATCAATAAACAGATATAAATAAGCAGATGTACTGTCTACCCATAGTTTCTAATCTGCACTTTAATGCTCCCCAATAAATCTGAATAAGTGCCCAATGTCATTATGTGACTTTTGAAAGCTTCCATGTAAAAAAAAAAAAAAAAAGCAGAACAATGTAAAACAAAATTTCATCCAAGTAAACCACAAAATTCAAAGATAAGATTATAATTAAACTACTTAAGGATATAAAAGATACCGTGTCCACTACATAAACTAAGAGGGGTCCATTTAAAAAACAAGAACCTGGGATTAGTGAAGACTTGATGGAGATTTTGAAATTTAGATTCACTGACGACATAAAAGGCTAAAGTAAGAAAATCCCCTGGGATTAAAGAACAATATGAAAGAGAAAGAGGAAGAAGTGAGAAACACAGAGAATGACAGACTATGGCAATAATAAATTGCCTTGGATGCCTAGCCTGAGGAGAAAATATTTAATAATACAAAAAGTTACCAAAGCAGATGGCCCTAATACCTTAAACTGCAAATTTCTGTCAAACCCCAAAAATGAGTGAAAATAAGCAATTCCTCCCAGATATCAAATTCAAATCCAGTGAGAACAGTGATGACTGATGGCGTCACTCTTCTCTGTCACTGACGCTTGGTGCCATGGCGCAGAACAAAGGCCACAGAATGAAAGAAAATAATTTTAACTCACAATTTCATATCCCACCAAGCTATCATATAAAAGGCAGAAATTTCAAAATAGTGCAATTTCAAGAAACAATGTATTCCCTATACACCCTTGAATATTCCCATCTCCCACCACGTTCAGCTGAGAGATTTAATGAGCTGCGTCAGCGCTGTGCTGGTTGTCATGGTGACTGGATTATGACAACTCCATAACATATTCTGAAACCAGGTGTCTTGGGAGTCCTTTGTCTCATAATGTATCAGGGTTTTTTCTTTTCATTTTCACTTTACTTTTATTTTATTTTTATCCTATGGTTTTATGTATATATGATTTATGACTTCCAGTTTTGTGTTTTTATGGCATCCCTGAGTGTGCAGATGAGTTTGTCTGTGCGCATATGTATCTGTTTCTTGTGCCTTTTCTTGGACTCTTCCTTCTTTTGGTTTGGTTTGTCCTATTCCCATTTGTTTGTTTTCTTTTTATCATTATATTATTATATTTATTATATTATATATATTATATATTATATATATATTATATATTATATTATATATATATATTATATATATTATCTCTTTGAAGCCTGTTTGTTTTCTAACAAGAGACAGAAAGGAGGTGGATCCAAATGGGAGGGGAGGTGGGGAGGAACTAGGAAGAGTAGAGGGAGAGGAAAACATATTCATGATGGAAAAATCTATTTTCAGTAAGAAAAGAACATTGCCTAACTTGTTACACAGCATATCAAACAGTTCAGTGACTAGAACAAGAATACCATGGCGGTGCTCTCTCCAACTAGAGGAGAAAGGGCTTTCTCGCTGTTTTCCAGTGCACTGAGTGTTCAGACCTGGGTTCTAGAGCTGTAATACCATTTCAGACCATCATTTCTCCTCCAGAGACTTGCAGGCAGGAGAAGTGTTAGTGTCTGGTGCTCTGTGAATAACATGTTGTCTACTCACCCACTGTGTTTCACTGCCTGCTTGTGGAGTCAATGAAGTTGTGAAAATTCAGCTTACTTGCTTAGTCTTCATGTGAGGAACTGTCCCACGCTGTGTCCTCCTCTATGGAACTGAGTTCATTTGTTGGCCCTACATTCCTCACTAACGACTGTCCTAGGTGTGTTTTGTCTAGCTTCCGTCAGAAACTAGGAAGCTGAGAATGCCACGTGTAAATACAGAGATACAACTGAAATTCAAGCACAATATCTCTTTCTGAACCACTGATCTTTTTTTCCCTCCCTGTACAATATTATTTTTAATTACTTTTGAGATTCCACTTTAATTACATTTCTCCTTTCGCTTTCCTCCTTTTAAACCCCACCTTATGGCCCTCCCCACTCTCCAAACTCATAGCTTCTTTTTCACCCATTGTTATTGCATGCATGCATGTACACATGTATACGTATGTGTTCTTAAATATAACCTGTTCAATTTGTATAATGTTAACTTACGTGTTCTTAAATATAACCTGTTCAATTTGTATAATGTTAACTTACGTGTTCTTAAATATAACCTGTTCAATTTGTAAATGTTAATGTATGTGTTCTTAAATATAACCTATTCAATTTGTATAATGTTACTTGTATGTATGTTTTCAGGGCTGACCATTTGGCACTGGGCAACCAATTCAGGTGATAACAGTATTCTCAATAAGGTAAAGATTACAGAGGTGAGAACAATTACCAGCTGCTGGAAGCCAGGGCTAAACATGTTGGTGTGGGATACACATATGACTTTAACAGAGAGGTCAAGGAGATCTCTGCAGTGACGAATTGTCCTCTGTCGTGGCCAGAGCGTATCCCCTCCCCCTGCAGTTGCTTGCTGCTTCTAGGTCCTTGGGAGGGTCCTTGCAAATTTTGAAAGTTGCAGCTCTTCACAACTTGTGAGTTTTGTTTGCTCTCTGAGTCTCAATTGGGTTAACATTTAAAGAGCAGGCAAACACAAATCCAAGTGTGTCCTCCATATAGATTTATTTTTTAATTTTTCTTGATCATTAATTTGAGTTCATATAAATAAAATCTCAGCATTAGTCAAACTTTAACAAATATTTGCTGGAATTCCTTGGGGGGCTGTGTACATTTGCCAACTCCAACTCCTCTCAGTTTATGCTGAGACCTACTCCTACAGGCTCTTCCTGTCTGTCCCCTAGACTGTCCTGATCAAAACCCCTGGTGACCATCCAGTGACACAAATTGAGGTTGAATTAATAGTCAGTGCTTGTATTATGTATCTTTTTAATGTAATACTGTTCATCTTGACATCAGGAATGTATGCATTTACTTTTTATTTTACTGTCCCAAAGCTTTATAGATGCTCTTTTCATTTGCTTACTCATTTTAAGTTACAATTGGTAGCTTTTCCCAAACGCTCTGATATCTGTAGTCAGGTTTCCAGCAATCATTCTTCCAGATGCTCAAACATTTTGGATACAACCAGTCAGTTCTGTTCCTAAGGACATTGTTCTCACCACCCTCCAACCGCCTGCTCCAATCTGGGCTACTTGATTTCTGGGCTTGGTTACAACTATATTCCCTTCAACATTTCTGTCTGTTACACTTGTGGCTTTGGGTCCTATGTCTTCTTTCACTTCCTCTCTCCTTTGTTGAAGCAGAGACTCCAGAGCCTCCTAGACGATAAGAAAGAAGAATGCTTCCCCCTTGTTGTATGTTCAGCACATAGAACTGTACTACTTACCACCGTACCAGCTCATTAAATATTTTATTATTTTAAATTAGCAAATATCATGGTGTGTGGTGGTATTGTGTTCCCTGAAATATTGTGCACGCTAATAAACTTATCTGCGGTCAAGAACAGGACAGTCACAATATTAAACATAGAGGTTAGGCAGTGGTAGCACACGCCTTTAATCCTAGCATTCCAGAGGCAGAAATCCCTCTCGATCTCTGTGAGTTCAAGGCTACATTGGAAACAGCCAGGCATGGTGACTCACACCCTTAATCCCAGAAAGTGAGCCTTTAATCCCAGGGAGTGACGGCAGAAAGCAGAAAGGTCTATAAGGCGTAAGGACTTATAGACCTAGAACTAGAACTAGAAGCATTTGGCTGATTAAGCTTTTAGGCTTTGAGCAGCACAGCTCAGCTGAGATTCATTCTGGATGAGGACTCAGAGGCTTCCAGTCTGAGGAAAGAGGATCAGCTGAGGAACTGGCGAGGTGAGGTAGCTGTGGCTTGTTCTGCTTCTCTGATCTTCCAGCATTCACCCCAATACCTGGCTTCAGGTTTGTTTTTATAAGAACTTTTAAGATTCCTGCTACAATGGTGTATAATCAGGAAGTACAGTTTTATACTTAGACATGAATATACTCTATGGAATTAATTAAATCAAACTGGTTAGCCGATGACCTCTACTACTTATCATTTTTCATAAGTGACACATTTAAGTTTTATTCTTTTAGAAGTTTTAATGAATGATATACATTGTGACTAAATTTGTTAATCTTGCAAAGCAATAGATCACATTTTTCCTTTTAAAGGAGTTTTTTGTATCCTTTGACCATTCTCTCCCTTTTTCCCATCATACATTCCTCCATCCTTCCTCTCTAGCGATCACATTCTACTCTCTGCTTCTGTGAGTTTGACTGCTTCAGATGTTATATATAAGTAAGACCATGCAGATTTTTCTCATAGCCAATTTCACTTAACATAATATTTTCAAAAGGGTTGGCTAACTTTGAGTCTTCAAAATCATGACATGGAATTTGTAGAATATGGTATAAGTATGTTTGTAGATAATATTTTTAAACCAGTGCATAATTCTCCTTAGCATCTGGTAGCATGAATAAGGCTTGCAGTGAAGTAAGAAGACTGAGATTCAAGTCCTGGATTGACCACTAGCCTCTGGTATAATCTTTTCTCTTCTGCCTGAATTTTCATTTCTGCCTGCTAAGTTTGGGTCTTGAATGTCTCCTAAACACTTGGTCTGCAGTAGTGGAAAGTGTAGGAGGCTTGGCCTAGCAGAGAGAAGTCACATCATCGAAGGCATCACCTCCAAGATGATGCTGATGGCACACTCAGCCCTCTCCCTCTCTCTGTTCTGCTTTCCTTCACTCCGTGAGGTGTGTAGGCTTCCTTAGCCATGTGTCCCCATGGCAATGCAGTGTTCCCGTGGGCCCAAGGCAATAGTGGTGACAAGTGTCTAAAACCAAAGGCTAAAATCAACATTTTTTCCTCCCTGTGAGGACAGGAGCTATGCTCCATTCACTACAGTATTTCTGCTGTCCTTCATAGGGTCTCAGCATTGAAGAAACTCAAAGTCATCCATGGAAATAGACTGAGTCCTCTCAAGAACGAAGTAGTCATTGCTGCTTTAGTTTAGAGTGTGATTTAAAAAATAAAAATAAAAAAAAAATAAAACCTTCAGAAAGTAGAGGACTTTCTCAGGCTGTCTGACTCCAGACTGCTCAGGTTTCTAACTCCAGGTTCCAGGATGGGAGTTGTGTCTGTGATGTGCATAACAGAAATGTGGTTTTCTTCCCTTTCTAGATGAACACTGGTGTCTGAAATGTAGAACTGTCCAACCTAGTGTGACCATCCAGGTTTGGAGGAGATGAGCGTGGATCAATTAATTTGCTAAACTACCACCAAAGGAATTTATCTTGGAAAATTTCTAGTCAATAGCAAAATAAGTACAAGCAAAAGTAAAAACTGTTTATTCTTTAGTAGCTCACTTTTTAAAACCTTATTCACAGTTTATTGCCATATTTAACAGCAACCACAAATGGGTACAGATCTTCCTAAGTTCTTCTCTTTCCCACTTAATTTATCCATTTCCAACATCCCTGCCATAGTTCTTCTTCCTCTGTCCAAATAGAGACATATTATATCTTTTTTCATCTCTCAAAAATTTAACCTTTTTTTAATTATTACTTTTGTTTTCTTTTGAGACTATAATATTATTACATTATTCTTACCATCCCTTTCCTCCCCCTAAGCCCTCCCAGGTAGCACCTCTTGCTCATTTTCATATTCATACAAGTAGCTTACTTTGAAACAGAGGCCTTTTTCTGTCTGAACCTAAAAAGGTAAGCAAAGGCAATTTTCTTTCATTTAGGAAAAACAAAACAAGCCAATGCATTAATTTATTTGGAGCTATTTAGATGTGGTAGCAGAGAGATAAGTACTTCTTCCAAAATTCATAATTAGACAGGTAGTACCCTGCTGTCTCTAAACTGACTTTTCAAACTTTGCTGACAGATACCAGGAGTATGGCTGGACTGATGTGCATTTATTCTGCCCCAGATCTCCAGTGTTCTCATGAACACCCATTGACATTCTCCTCTGTATAACCTCTCTGGTCCACTTCCACACATGCTCAGAGCGTCTGTGCTGAGCTGCTTTGCTACGGAGTTGAAGAGAATTTGTTTTTTCAGCTCTGATGAGGAAGGCTTGGGGAAATATGGAAATTTGTACTGTGGGGATTTCTGTGTGCGTGTATGTATAATCTTGAAGGGCAGGCATGCAGCTGTAAATTGAAGCTGCTGAGCACTGGCTCTATGAATATTTCATGTTTCTTCCTGGACATTGCCTTTGTAACCTGTATCTAAAGTGAGGGAAAAAAGAGTGCCAAGAGGCCAGTTTCCATAGGAACAAATGCAGCAATGGAAAAAAAAAAAACTGTTAGGCTAGAGTACCTCCAGTAGTTAGCCTCCAGGTAAGGTGAATTCACAACAGCAGTGTTAAAAGCAATGCATTTGCCTAATTTAATTGCATCTTCCAAACTCATCTTGAAAAAAACTTCACGCAGGGTGTATTAATAAAACTCTTGACTGGGCTATATGTTCTCTGAAAATTAAGAAAAAAAATTGAATCAGAAAGGTAATTACATTTTTAACTTGGATTGTTACAATTTGAATATAAGAAGGGAAAATCAGCCAGAAGTATGAAGGCTACATGAGAAAATTAATGCAATACTAAGTGTTTCTTCATAAAGAGTAAGTCTGTAATATATCTTACTGTAAAACATTTTATATAACCTAAAGAATAAAATAATAGTAATCAATAGCCTCAATGTTATTAGATGAATTACTAGTAAGAAATTAAATTAAGAAGAAAATGTGTAACCTACATATAACTTCTCATAGAAAATATTGAGCTGGAACAGGGAGGGAGAGGGAAAGCAATGAAAGAGATACCATGATAGAGACATCATGGGGACAGAGAGAAACCCAGTGCTAGGGAACTTGCCACGAATCCCCAAGAGTGACCTCAGCCTGGACTACTAGCAATAGTGGAGAGGGTCTCTGAACTGAACTGGCTTGTCCCAGAGATAAGACCAGTGAATACCCTAACTGTCATCACAGAACTTTTCTCCAATGACTGATGGAAGCAGATGCACAGCCAAACACCAGGCAGAGCTCCAGGAGTCCAGTCAAAGAAAGAGAAAAGGGATTCTATCAGCAAGTACATCGGGATCGTGATGGGGAAACCAGCAGAGACGACCAAACCTAACTAGTGGAAACTCATGAATGTTGGCTCAGTGACTGTGGAGCCTACATGGGACTAGACTAGGCCCTCTGCATGGCAAGACAGTTGTGTAGCTTGATCTGCTTAGGAGGCCCCCTGGCGGTAGGATCAGAATCCATCCCTGGTGCATGAGTGGAGCCCACTACCTATAATGGGACAACTCTTGCAGCCTTGAGGCAGGAGGAAGGACTTAGACTTGCCTCTAATGGATGTGTCTCCCGATGGGAGGCCTTACCCTCTTGTGGGTGGGAGGGGGGTTGGGGGGAGACTGGGGGGCAGGAGGAAGAAGAGGGGCATCTTTGATCGGTGTGTAAAATGAATGAAAATTTTTCTTAATAAAAAAAATTTTAAATAAAATTTTAAATAAAAGAAAGGAAGACTCATTTGTAGTGTGTGTTTTAACAACTAAGAATAAAAAGCTATTTTGGGAGGATGAATCTTTTTCTGTAAATGTTAAACTTCGACTAACTGAATTTTTCTTTCTTTTTTCTCTCTGTGTTCAGTTTTTAATAAAACTCTATTTCCTGTCAATTCCCCTTCTTCCTGCATGACCTCCCTGATAGTCTTCTGCAGGGTGACCAGGTGCCCACAGTGTGGCCTCACAGAGCTCCAAAGAATGACTTTCAAAAACTGGCATCATGAAATCTGTTCATAGTTATGAAGCATCATGTGATATTTCATACATGTATACAGTACATGTAATGTTTAAAACAAATTAAGTGTAATTATCTCCTTAAGCACTTATAATTTCTTGTATGTGTGTAGGTGTGTGTGTGTGTGTGTGTGTGTGTGTGTGTGTGTGTGTGTGTGTGTGTGCAGGTGTACATGCACATAGGTGTGCATACACATGGAGGCTAGAACCCAATGCCTAGCATTTTCTCTCATTGCTTTCCACCTTATTTGTTGAGGCAGTTGTCTCTCACTGAAACTGGATTTTATCAATTCAGCTAGACTCGCTGGCCAGTGACCTTCAAGGACCCTCCTGTCTTTGCCTCCCCAGTGCTGGGATTTCAGACACAGACATACACTGCTGTGCACAGCTTTTTACATGAATGCTAAGGATCTGAACTCAGACACTCATGCTTGGGCCATAAGCAATATGCTGACTGAAACATCTTGAAAGCCTCATAATTTTTTTTTATAGTACAAACATTCAAAACTTGTCCTGTAGCTTTTTGAAGACAATATTTATAGTACATTACCCATAATCCCCTTCTAGGGCAATAGTACTCACACCAGAACTTCTTATTCCTGCCATACCACAGCTTGGAAAGCAGTGATTAACCTTTGGCCAATCATCCCTCCTCTAACTTTCCCCAGATCCTAGTAACCACCTTTCTCAAAATAGATTATATCAAATTCAAAAGCTTATACACAGCAAAGAAAGTAATGGACAGATTACAAGAGACAGCTCTCAGAAGGGATGAAATTATTTACACAACATGAATCTGACAAAGGATTGATATCCAGAATATATAAGAAATCAAAAGTCTCAGGGGCAAAACAAATGAGCAAAAGCCATGACTTGAAAATGGACAGTAAACCCAAAAAGATGTTTCTCAGGAAGATGTAGAAATTTTCAGTAATCACAGCAAAGATACCCTTCCTTTTTTGTAGCTAGAGTTTTCCTGCCTTTGCCCACAGTCAGGACAAATCTCTGTCACCCGCCAGTCCCACAGCCACTCAGACCCAACCAAGTAAACACAGAGACTTATTTTGCTTACAAAATGTATGGCCATGGCAGGCTTCTTGCTAACTGTTCTTATATCTTAAATTAATCCATTTCTATAAATCTATATCTTGCCACGTGGCTCGTGGCTTACCAGCATCTTCACGTGCTGCCTGTCATGGTGGCGGTTGGCAGTGTCTCCTTCCGCCTTCCTGTTCTCTCAATTCTCCTCTCTGTTAGTCCCGCCTATACTTCCTGCCTGGCCAATGGCCAATCCGTGTTTTACTTATTGACCAATCAGAGCACACATTTGACATACAGACCATCCCACAGCACTTTTTCACTTACTTATCCACTTGCCCAGTATTAGTGAGCAGACTTCTTGTGTGTTTGATAGAAGAGTCTGATTAGTTAGTCACATTATAGTGAGAGTGACCTATGAGAATTTCGATGTGCTACCCTTCCTGTGGTTATCTACATGTGAAAGAGACATGGATAATTCAGGAAAAAAAAAATAGTTGGCTGTTTTGAACCCTGGGAAAATTAGTTTTCTCTCAAACAGACATGTCAATAGTCAAAAAGGAGTGATTCTGATTGAAGTATTTCAGCCATAACCCAAGTGTGGATCCAAAAGATATTTAATTCACATAATTTTGGCAACAAGATACTTCACATATAATCATCAGCTCAGCTTTCCTTAGAAATAGCCTAAAGTTCTTTACCATCTTATCCACACAGCTGAACTTACAGGACTGGGTACCTTAAAGCATGGGGATAAAGCAGAGGCTGTTTAAGAACCAGCAAGAACTATCAGGTGTCTTTCATTACTGCCCTTCTTAACTACAAAGAAGAGAGTGTTTTGGCCTGGAGATGTTAAGACTGGGGCTCTTTAGAGTGAGAGGTGTACCCCTGGGAAGCACTCACCAGAAGTGGGGATAGGAGCCCATACCAAAGTTCATAGTGAAAGCCTATCATATAGAGACTGAATTTTGAAAATGCAAATTCTCCTATTGGATGTCAGGACAACGTCAAAAAGGTTCAACACTCTCCAGATCAATGATAGAAATTTTAACTAACATAAAATTTGACTAACATAAAATAAATAAGGGTGCTGATATCAGCCTAATCAGACTAACCAGAACTGATGAATGGAGAATACATAGTAACTCTGTGCATATGTATACTTACTCAGAGAACGCTGAAATATATAAAGTAAAAATTAACAATGCCGCACTCATAGTTAGAGATGTTAACACTACAGCTGAATGTAAAATTTTTAAATGACACTACAGAAACTTGACCTAACATACATATATACTACACATATATATTATTTTTTAAATTTTTTTTCATTTTTACCTACCAATCCCAGTTTCCCCTCACTCTCCTTCTCCCGTCCCTTCACCTTCCCAAATACCACACCGCCCCCATCCACTCCTCAGAGAACATAAGGTCTGCTTGGGGAGTCAGCAAAGTCTGACATACTAAGTTGAGGCAGGACTGAGCCCCTCCCGCTCTGTGTCAAGGTTGAGCAAGGTATCCCACCCTAGGGAATATGTTCCAAAAAGCCATTTCACACACCTGGGATAAGTCGTGGTCTCACCCCTGGGGGCTCCCCAAACAGATCTAGCCACATAACTGTCACTCACATTCAAAGGGACTAATTTGGTTCCCAGCTGGGAACACCCCAGCTAACAGGCCAGAGTCCATGAGCTCCCACTAGCTCGGGTCAGCTGTCTCTGTGGTGCTAGGTAAAAAAGATGAACCTGAGAGGGACACACATGGGAGCTGCCAGGAAGGGAAAATAGTTAAGATCTCCTGGGTAAACTGGGAGGGGGTAGAATGAAAGTGAAGGGGGATGGGAACAGAAGGGCCTGAGATGGCCCAGTGAAGGGAGGGATAGAGAGGGGGAGCAATGGAAGAGATATCTTAGTGGAGGAAATCATTAGGGGGTAAGGGAGAAACCTGGTACTAGGGAAGTCCCCAAGAATCTGCAAAGATGATACCAACTAAGACTCCTAGCAATAATGTAGAGGGTGCCTGAACTTACTTTCTCTTATAATTAGATTAATGACTACTTTAATGTCATCAAAGAACCTACATCCAGTAACTGATGTAAGCAGATGCAGAGATCCACAACCAAGCACTGAGTTGAGCTCCTAGACTTCAGTTGAAGAGAGGGAGGAAGAATCTCAGGAGGAAGTGAGGTCAAGGTCATGATGGGGAAACCACACACATATTCTTTGTAAGTAAATGATGAAACACTCACCAGGAAAGACCTACTGAGTCCTAAAACAAATCTAGTGACTTAAAACTTTTTACTACGTCTATTTGTTTGGAGGGGTAGGGCATGTGCACGCCCTAGTAAACCTGTGGAGGACAGAGGACAGCCTACAGGAGTCAGCTCTTTCCTTCCACCATGTAAGTCCTGGGGCTCCAACTCATGTGGCAAGCACCTTACCCCCTGAGCCATCTTGCCGGTCTTGGTAAATGCAAAAGACTATAATCACATTTTTTTCATGTTTCAGTCGTATTTCATTTTCAAACATCAATAAGATACCTAGGAAACCCTCAAGTGTTTTAAAACTAATCAGTTTTCTTTTAAGCCACCATCATAACAATGAAAACTTCATGAAGAAAATTAGAAAACAATTATTAAATGATAATAAAAATCCAATACACTCAAACTAGCATGATACAGGGAGGTAGTATTTAAAAGGAAATGTATTCTGTTAGATATTCATGTTTAAAAGAAGATATTCAAGGCCAATGGCAGACCCTAAAAATGTAATGGTACTACATCACAAGTCCTATTCAAATAGTGACCACAGCCTGGAGCAATGGTTGTTGTATGGCCACACGAATAACCATTCCCAGGAATCAACAGTCATCTATGGGTGGTAGAGGGGCTCACGGGCCCTGTCACTTACTGCTGAAATACTATGAGTAACAGATTCTAAAAGATGGGTAGGCACAGTATCCAGAGTGTCCATTTGCACAGCTGCTGGTGAGCCCTTCAGGCTCCAGTGGTCAGGTTAAACTCAGTGGGTCACAAAACAAAACAAAACAAAATGTCATGAATATGGTAAAAAGATTTGTAGGGAAGGGAAGCAGTTACCAAGGATAAGAGAAAGATAAGAGAAGGTAGAGAGAGACAGTGATGGGAGTGAATTATGTATAGATGTATAAAATTGTCAGAGAAACAATTATCTATTTATTAAAGTTAATATATAAATGTACAATTATTAAAACATAGATCACATCACAGTTTTCTCTTATGAAACAATAACTATATCCAGTACATACTCCATCCAGCACATCTCTATCCAGGGATCAAGCAAATCTATGAAGCCCTCAAATTCATTTCAAATTGCCCAGTAGAAATTACAATAAGAATTCACTACACACCCACCAGCATGGGGGGGTAGGAAGTGGAAATGCCAAATAGTGAAAGAATGTGGACCAACCACCTTTCTCATGCTGTTGATGGAAGTTTCAACTAATGTGCAGCCATTTTGCAGAATTCTTTCGAGCATCTACTGAAACTGAACACACATACAACCTACGACTCTGCAGTCTGCTTCCTTATTGTGTTCCCTATGATTATGTATTGACGAAATCATGTTCAAAATCATTCAGAATTGAAGTATCTGTGGGAACCAAAATGAAATGTCTGGAGCAGAATAGAAAACTAAGCTGTGGCATTCACACAAGTAGACACAATACAATAGTAAGTATTAACGAAGACAAATACATACAAGAGGTAAGTGTGTATCACAAACGCAACTGTTGAAGGGAGCAATACCTGAAACAGTATCTGTGGTAAGAGTACGATTTCATTCACATACGTTTCAACAATAGGCAAAATCATTCCAAGGTGGTTAAAAGGAAAATAAACTTAATCACTGAGCAGTGAATATTGACCAATAAAGGTCTGCATGTAGCTTGTGGGAGGCTAACAATATTCCATTTCCTGTGTGCAATGGACAAGAGAGGGTTGATTTAGTGTGGATACAGAATGTGTTCACACTTCATTCAACTGTTACCTTTCAAACAAAATTCCAAATAGAAGGGAAGAAATACTTTTCCTTATTTCCAGCTTAGCTTATTTAAAGCACTATCAAAGTATTTTCATTAGCTGGACGTCTCAGGCCTGCCCTTCCCAGCAGCTGTTCTCTTTCCTGTTGCCATGCATTGTATCATTTGTGTTCTTCTCTTGGTTCTCGTGGGGTGTTCAAAAGAACAGACTTTTGATATTCCCAAGGTAATCCTCCTGCATTCAGTCACCTTTTCTGGAATGGAGGCAATTAGTGAGGGCAGCAGCTCCCTAGTTCCCTCTGCTACTTCCCCAAGGGGAAGAGAAGACCTTGCTTTCTGCAGATGAAGAAGTCTGTATTGAGCCATAATGCTCCTTCTCTCCACCACTGCAGACACAAATGATTAAAAGACCTGGCATGTTTAATTTGTATTTCCTGCATGCTAATCATTTTCCTTTCCTTTCATAAATATGTGAGAAAGCAACGACTTTCTTGCATGCCAACTTTGGAGAAGCTTTGAATTAAACAGGAGGATATTTATAGAAACATGAGTTACTTTGTCCTCCATGGTAATTATAAACTTCTTTTGTTATGTGAAAAAAAATAGTTACTCATTGATTTATATTAGAGTAAATTTAGGTTGCACTGGAATTTAAGATGTAGATGACATAATGTACTAACTAGAGAAACATAGCTCAGTGACATTCCTTTCATACATCTATACAACTCTTTTTTTTCTGCATGAAAGATTCATAGATTAAATATCACACTCATAAAGGCATTTATTAATAGAACACTTTTTCTTTTCGTAAATCAAAGCATATTTCTAAACGTGAAGACTAAATTTCATTCCCACCAGAAATCGTTTTAATTCTTCCTGCAGTCCCATCGGTGAGTGACAGGCATGAATTCAGGAATGTCTTAGTTACTTTCATGTCGCTGGGATAGAACACCCTGACAAAAGCAACCTAAGGGAGAAAGGTTTAGTTCGGCTCACAGTTCCAGAGAATACAGTATGTCATTGTGTAGAAGACTTGGCAGCAGGCAAGGGAGGCTTGGTGACCACTTGACCTCCACACCCAGAAAACGGGAATGAATGTAAGCAAGTGCTCCACCCACTCTCTCTGTTCAGCACAGTCCAGGAACTCCTATGTAGGATATGACCCCACTCATAGTTTAGATGGGTCCTCCCAAATCAACTAATATAATCAAGATAATCCTGAAGAGACATGCCAAAAGTATAACCTCCTAGGACTTCCTAGATCCTTCCAAATTGACCACACTAATTGTCCCAACAAATGACAGCAATGTTGCACCAAATAAATCAGCTGAGAACACATTCAACAATTAAGCATTAGTAGATTCTATCACTTTGATAGTCTCTCTGCATTTTATCCAGTGTGCTCAAGTACCAAATCTGGGCAATAGTCATTGTGTTATTTTAGAAGTGAGTTTGAGTCAATAAATATGAAAAATTAAAGTGATTTGTTCACTGCACTTGAAAGAAGTCTGATATTTGAAATTTAGAGAGAGGAGTCACAGACATATCCATTCACATATAGGTCTCTCTCAGAAAATTTTTATATTTTTCCAGTTTTCTTAAAGTAAGTGACCGTGTGGCTGGTGATACCTACCAATGAGAGCATGACCAATTTCATTAGTCGCCCAGGCTTGCACAACTCAATTAACTATAATTTCCAAATGTTTTCCTACCGTTATCAGTTTGTAAAATATTCTGGGTTTTGCATTTTCTAATAATTATGAGGTATTTTTTGTTTTGCTGCATTCTATTTATAATACATCTTTTCTTACACTTGCATGGTTTCTGAATTGATTGCTGTTTTAGTTTCTATGGCAACTCTGCCAGTTGCCTACCTATAAATAGATATTTTATAATAGCAGGCATATGAAAGTTCAATTTTAAACACACTTCTGCAATGGGGAGGAGAATTGCTAGAAAAAAATAACATATGAATCGAGGTTTAAAGAAACAGGTATTTTATACCTGTCAGGATGTAAAAATAGAAGAGTAAAATTGAAAATTCATGTAAGTGCAGGCTGCAAGCATATGTGCCAAGAAAAGAAGAGTGAAGCTCTTAAAAACAGACATGGAGAGTTGGGGTATGCTTTAAGTTTAGGCTCCATTGAAAAACGTGTGATATCTTCTAAAATAGCATTCATCATCTACACACACACTCTAACAGACTGTGTTTTCTTTGTTGGCTCTTATAGGACCCTGTGACACGGTTTTGTAGAATTTTTTATATGAGTTAGAGATGGGATATCTATTTATCCTTAATCCATCCCTTATCTTTTAACTTTTTCATAGAATGTGTTATAGACATGTGTGTGTGTGTGTGTGTGTGTGTGTGTGTGTGTGTGTGTGTGTGTGTGTCCAACCAGAAGCCAGAAGAAGGCATCACATCCCCTGGGGCTGTGAGCCACCTGTCATGGGTTCTGGGGACTGAATTCAGGTCCTCAGGAAGAGTAGCAAATGCTCTTAACCACTGAGTTATCTCTCCATCCCAATTTCAGCGTATTTGGATCCACAAAATTAAGTGAGTCAGTCTTTGCTTTGTGATTTCTGAGTCTGTATTTTCCCTAGGAAGTTTTTGTTACTTCAAGATTTAGAAAATGTTCACCTATATTTAGTTTTATTATCGTTTTTATTGAGAATTCCATACATGCATATGATAAGTTTCAATCAAGTCCATCTCTGTTTTCCCAATCCAATTTATCGTCTATCCCCCCACCAAATTTCATGTACTTTTTTAAACCCACTTTAGTTCACTTTGGCCTTTAAAGTATATTATGTTTTAAATGTATTGCAATTTATTGTGTTTTTATGAGATACTCTTTGTGGAAATTCAGTGGAAATATCAGCACTTAGCCTTATCCTACTTATCATACATTAAGTTTCAAGTGTACATTAAGCGTTATAGCCTATTCAATTGTTTTTGATATTTCCACCCTGATGCAGGTTAATGTTTTTATATATTTCCAAAGTATTTTAGGATTCTGTTTGATTACTCTTCTATAAGAACATCAAAAACAGCTTACAGATCCATAAAGTCCCTGTTACTGCTTGCTTTTGGTTTACTGCTAAGTTACATCTAAGCAGCCTTTAGTCTTCCCATGTGAACATGGAGGTGTCTACTCTGTTTTATCGTCAACAATAGCAGGGAATCTTTTGTTTGTGACTCATAAAGAATCTAGAATTGTGGAGGGGTTTTTACAAGTGTGCCTAAGATAAATTCCTAGTCCTCATAACTGATTATTTACTGCTATCAGTACTGGTGAGTTTATTTTGTGCATTTTATCATCTGATCTGGTAGTCCTGCCTCAGTCTCCCTGTTCAAAGACACACTGATGTTTTTGTCTTTCCTAATAGACATTTTGTCTCTTTTACATTAAAAAATTACATGTATTTATTTATTTATATGTATGTTTATGTGGGTGGAAGCATGCATGCCCCAGCGTGTGTGTTCAAAAGACAGCTTTCAGCTATTAATTCTTTCCTTCTACCATGTGGCTCCAGGAATGGAACTCAGATCATCAGACTTGGCAACAAGTTCCTTTGCCAATGAGCCTCTTAGTAAGTAGATCCACTGATTTTCCTTTACCAGCAAGATCAAGTTTTGTCAACAGAGAAAGTCCATTGTTTCACTGAAGCCTGAGAAAATTTATATTGTTTGAAATAACTATAATTTTTATTAATTAAATTTTTCATTTATTTTACATCCCACTCACCATTTCCCCTCCTTTCTCTCCTTCCCTTTCCTCCCCACTTTCTTCTCTACCCTCCCCCAGTCCACTCCTCCTTTTCCTTCAGAAAGAGGCAGGCTTCCCATGGGTGTCAACAAAGTATGGCACATCAAATTGCAGCAGGACCAAGCTCCTCCCCTGCATCAAGGCTGGGCAAGGCAATCCAGCATGAGTGCTGAGTTCCCAAAGGCCAGCTCAAACGTTGGGGACAGGTCCTGATCCCACTGCTAGGAGCCCCACAAAGAGACCAAGCTGTACAACTGTCACACACATGCAGAGGGCCTATGTAGGTCCCATGCTGGCTCTCTAGCTGTCTGTCCAGAGTCCCTGAGCTCCCATAATCAGATTGATGACTACTCTAACTGTCATCAGAGAGCCTTCACCCAGTAACTGATGGAAGAGATCCACAGCCAAGTACTGGCTGAGCTCCGGGAGTCCTGTTGAAGAGAGGGGGAGGGGATTATATGAACCAGGGAGATCAAGATCATAACAGGGAAATAACTATATTTTATGCCACATCTTGCCTTATTGCTTTTCACATGCAATTGCACATTTAAATTGAAGAGTTTTGGGTTTTTTTGGTATTTTTGGTTTTTTTGTTTTGTTTCACTTTAAGCAGAACCAGGGCTTCCTGTAAATGTCTCATACATAGGAAGACAGGGGGAAAAGAGTTTTTCTAGATAAAAGTTGAAATAAGGTGTCTACATCATCTGACACTAGTTGGGTTTTCCTCTTTTTTTGAAAAGTTGATTGAGGTATATCTTAACTTAAGGACCATACCACAACAGGGAGCCATGCCTTACTCTGCCTGCGTGGCTAAGAACCAGACTGAGTAACCCAGAGACCTGGGGTAGAACCAAACAGGATTGGCCAAAAGAAAAAAAAATCAATTAAAGTGAAATGATTCCTGATGATATTCTCCTACACTCTGAAGTGCCTAGCCCAAGTGTCATCAGAGAGGCTTCCTCCAGCAGCAGATAGAGGTAGGGGCAGAGACACACAGCCAGACATTATACAAGAGGGTCAAAACTGGAGGTCTCCATTGGGTCCCTTCACTCCTTGCTCCAGGAACTCTGCCATAGAGGAGAAGGAAAGACTCTAGAAGTCAGAGGGGATGGAGGACACCAGCATGGCACACTGAATCAACTAAGCAGGGCTCACATGGGCTCACAGAGTCTGAAGCAGCAAGCAGGGGCCTCCATGGATTTGCACCAGGTTCTCTATGATGTGTTATAGCTGTTAGCTTGATATTTTTCTAGGACTCCAACAGAGGGAATGGGTATCTCAGACTCTTTTGCCTGCTCTTGGGGTTCTTGTCCTCCTATTGGGTTGTCTTGTCCAGCCTCAATATGATTTTACTTTGTCTTATTTTATCTTGTTTTGTCATGTTTGGTTGTTGTCTCTTGGAAGCCTGCTCTTTTCTGAAGAGAAATGGAGGGGGAGTAGATCTGAAAGAAAGGGGAGGTGGGAGAGGTGATAAGTTTTAGGCCTCCTGAAGGCCTCTCTCAGGAAACCGAATCAGACAGAATCAGGAAAAGCCCAGGTTTAGTGGGTAAAGCTCTCCTGGGTGATTCCCCAGCCCGCAGAGAGAAGAAAGGGAGGAGACTGGAAGAACCACATGTCTGTTTTTGGAGATGCCTTTTATATACCCTATGGGGGTGGTCTTGAGCCTCTCTGGGGGAAAAGCTGTGTTTGGAGGGCTTTGAAGGGACAGGTTTGGGGAAGAGCTGTGTTTGGCAGGCTTTGAAGGGGTGGATTTAGGGAAAGAGATGGAGAGAGGAGTTGAGGTGGATCTTCCACCAGATTCCTTCCAAACAAGCAGAAATCTGGAAGGAGTGGAGGGAGGGGAAATTATAATCAGGATGTATTGTATATGAGAAGACTCTTTTCAATTTAAAAGAAAAAAAGAAAAGTTGATTGAGGCCATTGTTGGTATTATACTTTCCACACAGATTCATGACACAAATTAATAAATTGTATTCTTTGTGTTCTTTAAATAAAAAGATATGGGAGTGAATATATCCCCTACAGTGTGTTAGACTAGAAATTATTCCTGGCAGCTTAGCTTTATATTAATCACTCTTTTTGACATTTCTTCACAATCCTTCTAATCACCTAAAACTGTGCAAGAGAGTGCCTTGATTTTATTCAGCTCCGTACTGTGTTCCTTTAATGGGTGCCTTTTGCATTCTCTTTTGGGGAGTCTGTGTAATGAAATGTATATTAGGCATTTAATGCCTGCCAGACATTTAAACTGCTTTGCATTTAAAAGCATGAGTTGACCTTATCAGATGCCTAAGAGCTGAAGTAATTGTATCTTGTACTAATCAAAATGTCTTCTGTTATAACAAAAGCGAAATCCAATTACACTATATTATGAAGCTATTATTCTTGATGCTTGGTAGCTTGGTAATTAAATACATATTTCTGATGCTAAAGAAATACAATCATTTTCTCAGGCAGCTATATTTGTTACACCTTGAATTAGCAATGCTTTTTTTAAAAATATGTAATTGTTATCAATACTATAAAGAAAAAAATCACATCACCAGTCAATTTCCAGTGATGCTTTCACTTTCTTGGCCTATTCAGGCAAGGAATATGCACCTAGAAGAGAATGTATTCCACCCACATTTGTGTTTTATTTGAACAAATTTTCTGAAAAGCAATTACTAAAAGGATGGGTTGTGAGCCTGGAGAAAAGAATCCTTAATACCTGTGAGGGAAATGGTTAGTTCCACAGACTAAAAATCAAAAACATGTCACTGTTGTAAACTGTACTTCCCTGGAGTTCTAGTCCTATCAATGTTCTCTCTGATGCTGCATGTGCACCATGGCAAAGCCCTAGATTCAATAACTCCCATTTACGTGATCCTAACTCACTGATTGGCTATTCTTTACCACAAGCCCTTTCATGCAGGACTAGGCTTTCTAAACTCTGTGAATTACCTGTACTTCCATTGGAGCAGCAAGACCTTCATTTGAATATGGCCCAGTCTTTGGCCTGTATAAATTTCAAAACACAGAATTATTCAATCCCCAATGAAAATGGTAGCACTGTCTCTGGTACTTAAGTACTTCATGAGTTGTGATGGGTTTGTGTAAACACATGCATCTGCGAGGACCTGGCTAGTGTTCAACTATTTGTTTCCAATAGAACTAGAAGTCTTGAAAAGCACCCAACATCATTCTTCCTGTAAATAATTGTCACACTCCATAGCATCTCAGCATCTGCCTGAAGACCAGCCCTAAGAACTAGGATCCATGCTTCAATCTCAGCCTCAGACTTCTGGATGCTGTTTTGTCATCCCTCCAGTATGACGTCCTGTGTTTCTTCATCAGAATCCATCCTCTAATGTAGAAGACTGATCATTCAGATGTTGAGTTGGGCAATACAGAAGAGAGACAGAGTCTGGCCTATTCCCTTCACTCTGACAGGTAATTTGTGTGGTCAATTGTCAGGTTGTACATGACTCATTCTTACAGAACTCAGACTATTATTTATCCATCATCTTCAATGACTGCATTCTTCTCCAACATCAGCCCAAACTTCTTTTTTTTTTTTCTTGAAAGATGGTAGTGGTGGCACACTCCTTTAAGCCCAGCACTTGAGAGGCAGAGGCAGGTGCATCTTTATGAGTTCCAGATCATCTTGGTCTACAAATCAAGTTCCAGGACCGCCTGAGCTCTACAGAGAAATCTTGTTAAAAAAGGGAAAAAAAAATCTTCTCAACCTGTTTAAAATCACATGGTTTACTTCTGCAAACACACATTCAGCTCACTTTTCTGAGCAAATCTTTCAGATTCCAATTTGCCCTCAAAACACTGCATTATAAATCTGAATTTTGAATCATCCCAAGTTCTAGTTTGGATCTCTGCACATGTCATACGCATATGTCTCTCATTGTTAGCTTTTACTTTCAGATGTATGCATTGTATTTTTTTTCTGGAATGTTCTGTTTCTAACTACCAAACTATTCTTTCCAGTCCCTTAAAATTAAAAAAAAAAAGTTTAATGATCGATGATCATGCACACAGAATCTCTTTGCTACATAAAAATATGAAAAACAATCAGTATTCTCAGAAGCCAATATTCCAAATCTGTGTTTCTACCAGAGGTGTTTTGCATCCAATTATGTGTATTTGAGGGATCCATATCACAGGAAAGGGAATACAGTGATGTAACCCTATTGTCCCTATCTATATTTAAGTATTTCTAGAATACTGTAAAGTATTGAAAGGTACAAATAATAAGTCACTGAACTATTCATACATATAGATGGTGTTTGAAGGTGAAATTAGGTTCATAATTGTATAAAATAAGAAGAACATGAATGGGAACTTTGTGTATTAACTTCTAAAATTGTATCTGATTTTACCTAATCTGAGCTACCACTTAATCTGATTCTGTATATTGTCCAAGCTTCTGGGAACATAGAGGTGAAATAAATGAAGAAAAAATATATGCCATCAACCAGTTATAACAATAATTATTTGTTGATGCTTGCTTGAGAGATTTTTTTCCTGGGCAGGTGCAATGCATACGCATGTCCAATCACCCCAGTTGGTGAGAAATGCATCAAAGCCCAAGCTGGTGAACAATACGTTTATTTGGGGTTCCTAACAGGAGTATGGTGAGAGTTCCAGGAGCAGCTATCTCAGTAAAAAGCCCGCGCCCATATGGATGCCAACTCGCAAACGCCACATTGCTGGGGCAATTTGTGCAACTTGTGTCCAGGTCCACAGGATCCAGGAAATCTTTCCAGGCAGCTCAGTCCATCAGTTGGCTTCCCCAGCAGTGGTTTCAGTCCTTATTAAGCTGGGGAGGGGCTAGAGTGAATCTCAGAGTTTCCTTTCTCTAGACCTGTCAAGTTTGTTTACCTCCCTGATCTCAGGGACCTCCTTGCCCACTCCTGGAGGGAATGTTTCAATTGGGATGGAACTACTATGTACAATCACAATACTGAAAATGTTGGATAAATTTGTATTGTCTGAGCAGGATATAAATTATAATCTGAGGGTGGAAAGTGTAGTGGTCAGGGGTGCACAAAAAAAGGTGATAAACTAAATCATTTTCTAACCCTTGATAGGTAGAAGATGATGTAAAATAATCTGGAGTTAGAGTGCAGAATATGAGTGTGCAAGGCTCACCCATCTACACAAATGAGAGACTTTGGAATAAAGGAAAATAGTATGTCCTTGCATAGAAAGCACTTTTTATTTAAGTTACTCACAGCATCCTCACAAGAATCTAAGGCAGAAGTCTTAATGTCCACTCTATAGGATGTGGAAAGGAAAGGTGAACTGAAAAAAATGACAATGTGAGGGAAAATAGAGAAACACTTGATCCACATCTTTTACCCGGAAGCTACTTCCTCCCAAACTAACAACCTGGGAGGCATTCGTGGACATCCATCTGGAAGCAAGGGAAGGTTCTACCACCCAGGCGAGAGAGTGCTTAGATTAAGACCTTCTGCTGGGATTTTACATGCCCATTTGTATAATGCACACATAAGAAGTGCATATCCGGTTAGTTGCATCTCCCCAGTTTAAAGGGTGTACTTATGCAGAGTTCTACCAGGAAAGAAATTTGTCTGATTTTGCTGTTGTTGTTGTTGTTGTTGTTTGGATGTTTTGTTTTTTGAGACAGGGTTTCTCTGTGTAATAGCTCTGGCTGTCCTGGAACTCACTTTGTAGACCAGTCTTGCCTCGAGCTCACAGAGATCCACCTGCCTCTGCTTCTCTGAGGGCTGGGATTAAAGGCATGTGCCACTACACCCAGCTAGAGATTTGCCTGAGTTTTGAAGAAGAGAAAATGGAAACTTAGAAAAGCTGATGTCTTGGTCAAAAATCTCTGGAGTTAGTACTAAGTAGTGGTAGAAGATGCAGATAAATGTGCAGACCTGAGTGCAAGGCTTTTTGCTGTTGTTACTTTATCAGGGACTTGTGGGAAAAAGATGTTCTTGGGTCTACAGCCCTATGAATAGGTAACTTATTGAATTGTTTCATGAAACATTCATGAGATGAATTATCTTCATGTCATAATAATTGAATTACTTGAGACTCTACATTTTGAAATTTTCCCTTCTTTTTGTTAAATAAGCAACAAAGCCAATAGCAAAGCTAAACAATATCCTTAGATTTGACTAAAGATTTCTAAGTTGGCTAATGAGTCTTTGGTTTGTCTTGATTATTTAAGTTTGCACTAACATTATATGATTTAAAATATGTGCTTCTTTTCTGGATATTTTGACAAACTAAATGAGTTCACAGATGATTATATTTAGACAAAAGAGGCAGTAAGACAAAACTAGAAAGTAGCACAAAGGGGATTACAGGATGAAAAGTGTGTCTTAGGAAGACACAGCAGTTGTAAAAACATATGCAATCAGTACCAGAGCACCTACATGTGTGAAGTGAGCATTAAAAGATCTGGAAGGAGCCGGGCGGTGGTGGCGCACGCCTTTAATCCCAGCACTTGGGAGGCAGAG